GTTCTATAGACGAAACAACCTCAGTGAGCGGAGTATGGAATAAAATTAGGTGGATTAAAGGTTACCAAACACAAAAAAGACACATTGACCCAGATACAGCCAGCCTTCTTCTATATAGCCTAACCCCTGACGATGTACCCCGATGTAAACCTATATTCTCTTCACAAAATTCGGCTCTAGATATTGAAATCACGTTGCAGGAATTAAATCAAAGTATTAAAAAAAAAGACACTGCACCTGGGTTCGACAACATTTCTTACAGTATGATTAAAAATTTACCTCTAAACGCTAAATTAGTTCTAGTAAAACTGTATAACTCTTTTCTTTCGACGGGTTCAGTTCCTACTCAATGGCGAGATATTAGTATTATACCTATCCCTAAACCTGGGAGGGACACCCACTCCTCATCGGCACTGAGACCGATTTCGCTTATATCATGTCTGTGCAAAATTTTTCATGCAATTATACAGAAACGACTAGAGTGGTATTTAGAAAAAAATTGTATGTTTTCTAACGACACGTTAGGTTTTAGAAAGTGCAGGTCTTGTCTAGATAACTTAAGTCATTTAGTAACAAGAATTCAAACAGGTTTCTGTAAAATTTTATAACAATCGGATGTTTCATTGATATAGATAACGCGTATAACAACATAAATATCAATAATCTTTTATATAAATTAGATATGTTAGGGGTGGGACATAAAATATGTAGTTACCTTTTTGAATTTCTTCGGGAACGTTATCTTAAACTAGTAATAAATGGTATGTCGGTGACCCGCAGCACCGGCAGAGGATTGGCACAGGGTGACCCATTGTCACCCTTGCTGTTTAATGTGGCAACTATAGACATTTGTAAACAACATAACACCGATTCAGTACACATCTTACAATATGCAGATGATTTCGTTATTTATTGTACACATAAAAACATATTTAACGCCGCTGAACAATTACAAACTTCGTTGGAGAATATCGTAGGCAGTTTATCTGAGCTTGGTCTAGAGATTTCGCCCTCTAAGAGTAAAATATGCGTCTTTAAAAAAGGTTGTAATAGACAAAATATTTCTATAAAATTGAATAATACAAGCATACAAGTAGTAGATAGTGTAAAATATTTAGGTTTGTGGCTAGATCGATCTCTTAGATGGGCTAAACACATAAGAGAAATTAATGAAAAAGTATCTAAATTTCTCAGCATCCTTAAGTTTGTGGCGGGGATAAGTTGGGGTATACACCCGAAACATTTAAGAAAAATGTATATTTCTCTCCTGAGGAGTCGTTTAGACTACGGTAGCTTTTTATACGGTGACAGTAGTGAAACACATTTATGCAAATTAGAAAAAACTCAAAATCAGGCTATGCGAATTATCGGCGGGTTTATCAAAACGACACCTATCCATGTAATGAGCAGTGAACTAGCGATACAGCCGTTACATATACGTAGATGCTACTTAGCCGGTAAATTTTTACTAAAATGCAAATCTTTATTAACGAAGAGTAAAATAATTAACTACTTAGAGGATTTAGCCAACTATCTAATCGCATGGCGTAGGAAAAATAAACCTGTTTTAATAATAATGTACGAACAATTGAGAGAAGTGCAAGTTCATTGTAGCCAAAATTTAGAGATGTTTGAGAGCCGAGTATGGATGGCCTATATAGATATTTCCAAAAATCTAAAAGATAATATAGATTACATAAACAAGCCTAAACAGCAATACAGGACATCCGTTTTGAGAGATTTGTGTTTTAATTATATGGATACTCGGTTTCCGAATTATTACCAGATATTTACCGATGGATCGAAAGAAAAAGGTGGTGCGGGGGCGGCCCTCTTCGATCCTCAGCAAAATACATTCGCTCGCTATGGAATTAGCGTAAAAATATCGATCATGTGTATTGAACTAATAGCTATTAGTGAAGCGTTATCTTACATTAATTCTATTGACCATGACAAGTTCGTTATTTTTACTGACGCTAAAAGTGCCCTCCTACATGTAGCTCGGTGTACCTCGACAATTCGAGGAACACCGATAGCATACACAATTATGAATCAAATTGTTGAGTTAGAACGGAGCGGTAAAACAGTACATCTTCAGTGGATTCCATCACACATTGGTATAACTGGGAACGAAATGGTTGACACACTTGCAAAGCAGGCTTGTTCTGAAGGTATATATATTTCAATACTGCCTTACTATTCAGACTGCCTATATCTTGTAAAAGAATACTGTTTTAAATCCTGGAAAGAATATTTCGATAAAAGATCAACCGAAAAGGGTATCTGGTATAAAACTATACAACCTGAACCGCTGGCTATCCCTTGGATTGATAACTGTTCTTTGAGTAGACATAAATTGATAACGGCTATGAGGTTACGCTCTGGACACATCCCATCCAGAAAGTTCACCTTTTTAATGGGTTTATCATCTACGCCAAATTGTGAAATCTGTGGTGTGGTAGAGGACGTAGAACATGTTTTGATGGAATGTGTTCGGAACCAACAACTGAGAGAACGCCTGCTTAATGATAAGTTGATGGACATTGGAAGATGTAACAGCATCCTGGCCAGTCCTTTGACGGATACAGCTAATGATATTTATACCTTGTATTTTCAATATTTAAGTTAATTTTAAAACAAAAAATTGCTATGATGGAGCGACGTAGTCATCATTGTGGCTAAGCTCCGTAAATAAAGAAAAAAAAAAAAAAAAAAAAATGTATAAAGATAAAATGAACGTTTTACTTTATTTTTCTTGATACAGTTCTATGCGCACAAAGCGAAGAAACTGTGCTTTCTCTCCATTGAATCTAAACACAAACCGGGACATGTAGATGCAATACCCTCCTAATCCTTGTCTGCACTCAGTGCAAGCGACTGCGAATCTTAAATCTAAATGCCTTTAATTTAAATTCCAAGTAGCATCATGTCTACTAGAGGATCCAGCTGCTCCGAAGCGTTAAGTTTAAGCCTAACACCAACTCAACAAACTTAAGCGGGCTAAAGTTTAAATGAAAACGCTCGTTCCGGCAAAGGTTCTTAAACCGTCTACTCGAGAATTGGGAGGTAGGTACAGACAAAGAACTTATGAAAACAATAAATAATGTGCTAGAGATTTCTGGTTTTTTTTTTAAAGACAACTCCCACACTAGTTATATTTCCTTTATCGCGGGGGACTTTACAAACATTCATGAAACGGACACAAAGAACACCCAGACTCAGGACAACAATTTGTGAATCACAGACTGTTGTCCCATGTGGCGATCGAACCCACAACACTCAGCGCAGTAAAAAGCGGCGAGGTGACCGCTTAAACCACTACGCCATTCGTGCGTCCGTTTGAGTATACCTGGAAGAGAGTGAGTGATTTCCAATGCTTAAAAATAAATTTGTGCATCTATCTAGGTATACCAATCTAAAAAAAATTAGTAGCCCTTCTAATTTTTTCAATGGATATAATAAAAATAAAGCAATACTTACTGATGGTGAACGGCAGTATGTAGTAGCATAGCAGATGCAGGATCTCCTGGTGAAGGGCCACCGGGAAGACCGCCACGCAATAAGCCACTAGATACGGCAGGTTATCTATCATATCATATTCGAGGAATGGAAGGATGCAGCCGAGGCATTGCAGTATTGCCTGACCGAAGGCTGTAACAGAAAAAAAAAACAGTTTTTAACTATGATAAACTTAGGACTTGAAATCGTTCGGTGGTGGGTTCAAATTCTGTACTGTTCGAAACACTCTCTTAACACAAGAAATTAGCTCAGTTTATTAGGTCAATAAGAATATTAATAAATTGGTAATGTTTTTTATTTTTATAAATATAAATTCTATATAATGGTGTTTTTTTTTCAACAAGGGTATAATTAACAAGCCTATTTCTTCGATCCCGAAGCGCACAAGCGGTTGATCTTTGATGGGTACAAACAACACCCAGACTCAGAACAACAAAAAAAGTGTGATTGTGGGGGGCATGGCGACCGCTTAAACCACTACGCCATCCGTGCAGCGAATGAACTTCTTATTCAAGACAGAAGGATTATTATCCTGTCTTAATCATTAAAACAACCTATTATTATAATTACTGTCCGAAACTGAAATTAACAACATTTATCAAGACGATGTTTTAGCTCCGTAAATAGCAGTTTGCAATGAGTGAATGAATTACATTTATTTAAGTACAAAAAAGACAGTACAGACAGATATAGTACCCATATGTTTGGTAACTGCAAACGGGTCTACGCTGTTAGAAAAACATAAAAATAGATACTTATTGTTCACAAAGTCATAGGGTGGTTACGTACATTAGGGTAAATAAACACAGCAAATTCATCAGCATGCATATTTTATTTCTTGAGAAGACTTCGTGAAGACGTAGACAGCATCTAAAGGGTAGATCTTTGTTCACAGTGATATGTAGTAACGCACCTAAACATTTTTATACAACTGTTGGCCTACCACGAACTCTTAAAACAGGCCAATTTTAGTCGAGAATTGAACGGTCGCTTTATTTTGTACCATAAACGCGATGATAAGCAGGCGAGTCAGCGATCTCCGGTCAGTGGTCACGTGATTAAGATTTCAACGGCTTGGCGTTACCATGAAGTGATGTTTGACAGTTGAATATCCGAAAACTGAACTGCCGTGCAGTCATATTTCGCAGGCGTAAAGTAGTAACTTTTATTGAACTGTTTTGAGTGATTTTGAATTAAAAATGTAAGTGATTGTTAATTTGTGCTTAGAATATTCAAGCTACATCATTAAAGACTTTTGTCAGAACAAAATTTCATTATATTTTCCGTTATTTTAGATGTGCGATGAAGACGAAGTATTTGAGTTTTTAGAAGATGATTTCAATAACGCTAAAAAGAAAGTAAGTGACAAAAATAATAGGAATGCCATCCGAAATTTGATCAAACCATTCGAATTGCAAGACGGAATGTTTATACAGCGATATAGGCTAACGAAAGAGTGTGTACTTGAGCTGTGTAATGAGATGAGACCGTTCATGACACAACCTACGAAGTCCACAGATTTGAGTGTAGAAGTCAAGGTTTGTAGTATTTTATAAACATATTTATATCATGGAACTAAATATGAAGTATTAAAAGGACTTAAATTAACAATATAAGGGAAGCTTAATATTCTTAATGTATTAATTCAGGTTTTGATCGCGTTGTCATTTTATGCGACTGGATCGTACCAAAGACCAACTGGGGACATAGCTGCACATTCTGTTGCCCAACAAACAGTTTCAGCTGTAATAGCACAAGTAACCCAGTGCCTTAATCTTCCACATTTCCGACAGAAATATATAAAATTTCCAAATAGTGATAATGAACGTAGAGCTACTATAGTTGGGTGAGTACAATTTACTTCTGTAGGTTTGTTTATATAATAGTCTGGTATGACTTATCAACAATTTTATTTCAGATTTTATAGAAAAAATCATATGCCTGGAGTATTAGGATGCATTGATGGGACACATGTTGCAATAAAACGGCCAGTGGAACACGAAGAACGTTTTTACTGTAGAAAACAGTATCATTCTTTGAATGTACAATTGGTATGTGCCTTGCCTTGATTAATATGCTCGACTGCACAGATGGTGTAGTGGTTTAAGCGGTCAGCTCGCCGCGTCCTCCTGTGCTGAGTGTAATGGGTTCAATTCCCGCGTGGGACAACACTGTGTAATCCACAAATTTTTGTTCTGAGTGTGGGTGTTCTTTGTGTCTGTTTCATGTATGTTTTTGAAGTCCCCAGTGACACAATGCGGGAGGTGTCTTTTTAAATAAAAAAAAAACAATAACAAAAGAAATATATAATCATTCAATTAATTGTGCATACAAATACACTAATCTATACAAATAAATAAAATTGGAGTGTCTGTTTGTAATATTAAAATAACCGCTTTTTACTAAATGCATATGTATGTTGACACGGTACATATGCCAAAATAACATTTTTTACAATTATTGTCTGTCTGTCTGTCTGTCTTTTTGTTCCGGGTAATCTCTGTAACGGCTGGACCGATTTTAATATAATTAGTGTACAAGTGATACTTCAATCAGCTTATTTCTCATCTTCAGCTTCATTCAGCTTAGTTTTCCTCTTTTATATTTATATTAGATTTCTTAGATTGTTGCAAGAAGTTATTTCTGAAACAAAAAACATATTGCCTCTATAAGTTATCAAAAGACTGATTATTTTTAGGTATGCAACTCTGACATGGAAATAATTAGTGTGGATGCCAGCCATGGGGGAGCAACTCATGATGCCTTTATATGGGGTCACCATCCATTAAAAGCTATTATGGAACAGTTAAATAACACATGGTTTTTAGGTTTGTATTCTTTTTCATCACAAAATCTACCGTAAGCCAATGTAACTAATAACTGATATATTGATGCTAGTATTTATTAAGATTCATCAGAAAACTTTTTTTTTAGGTGATTCTGGCTACCCTTTAAGAAAAAGCATGATGACTCCAGTTGTTGATGCTGTTCCTGATACACCAGAGGCTTACTACACTGAACAGCATGTGAAAACTCGCAATGTGATAGAACGGACTATTGGGCTTCTTAAAGCACGCTTTAGATGTCTTCTTGTGCATAGAGTTCTACATTATGAACCTATTGTAGCAGGATCTATTGTAAATGCTTGTGTCATCTTACACAATATTTGTAATAGAGCTAGTATCCCTGTGCAAGACATCACATCTGAAGAACTGTTACAAGAAGCACAATTACAACCTACCCACCATGTAGACAGCATTTCAGAGCAGTCTTCTTCTAGAGTTCACAATTTCGATTTGCAGGAAGGCATAGCTGCTCGAAGACAGCTCATTGCTCATTTGAGGGCATGCCGGTTAAACTGAAAAATATATTAAATTGCATTAGATTAAATAAAAAATGGAACACTTTCTTTTTATATCCCATTACATAAGTATATATAAAACACCAGTATTTATTAACTTCGTAACTGATAGCTAATTACCTTTGGTGTATCCTGTCTAATGTATCTGCTATACGACGGAGATAAATGTCCAATGAGTTGGCCATATCGACTGTGGCCTCTGCTCGCATACGGCTTGACTCAGCAAGCGACCTTCTCGCTGCTTCCTGTGACATCGGCGTAGGCCTGCGCCGGTGTCTTATCTGTACGGACGCTCTCCTCCCACGATAGAGTTCAAATAGTCAGATACTTCTGTCCACATTCACCGACATGTTGCACGAGCTTGAGCACTTTTATTAAACCCCACAGCAACATCTCTGTGAGTATTTAAGAACTCCCACATGACTTCTAGTTGCTCATATGAAACTCTTCTGGACGTCATTGTTAACGATGAATACTTTTCAAAAAATATTTTTATTCAAGTAAGAATTTCAAATTCACCACGGAAACTTATTTCAAATTTTTTATGCTTTCAACATAACATATGTCGTTCAAAAATAGGTGACATCATGGTAGCGTTTATTTTAAACATTATTTATTATTATTTATTTAAGTGGCCAAAGCTCCAAATGTCTCAAAAGATGTTATTTATGTTTGATTTTAACGAAAGAAACAAAGTTACTTCAAAGTACTTGATACTGAGCTATGATTATTTAAATAATTAGATTCTAGGTTTATAAAACCGGAAAACCGATAACGATTATGAGAAGGATTTTAGAACGTTTGGTTCATGACATTAGTATAGGTGTGTTGTTGCCAAATCGACCAGAGATAATTATTCAGGTCAAAAATTGATACATTGCAGTTCAGCCGAAAAGGTTCATGGTACAATTAGAAAACCTGTCAGGTTATCCGTAAAGTTGAGCTGCTCTGAATTTGGCAGTTATTTGGAAAGTTCATGGTAGGCCCCCAGAATAGGTTGCAATAATAAATTAAATGCAAGACCTGTTCGATAAACTGAGGCTATTGATATGAGAGATTAATATGAGCCACCAAAGTGGTTTCACTGACAATACATTCGAGTTGGATTCCCTACCCACTACTGTTGGGCCGTTTGAAACAATCTTCTAAAGAATTCCTAAATGTATGACTTTAATTTGAGAATTTTTTTTTGCTTTTAAAAGATAACTCCCCACTAGATTGAGATTTATATTGTGTCGCAGGAGACTTTAAAAACATTTATGAAACGGACACAAAGAACAACCAGAATAAGAACAAAACTTTTGTTGATCACACAAAGTGTTTTCCATGTTGGGATCGAACCCACAGCACTCAGCGCAGTAAGAAGTTTTAACTACTACGCCATCCGTTTAGTAATTTGCCGTACTAGCTGGTCTCTGAGAAAACGGGTTCACAAGTTCATACCAAAACCCAGATTATACCTATGTTACACTTTTCTTTGAGATACTGATTCATAAATTTATCTAAATATCATGAAATAAAACTAAACTTACCTGGGTTGTTTGA